CCAATGTACGAAATTTTAAAATCACAATTAGGAGGAAATACATATATTTTCACAAAGATGCCTTCCTTAAAAACGCAACTAGTACATTAATTATGCCTTCTTGGTGATGACATGAAATAATGAAGATCAGGTTTTATTTAAACATCTACAATATTCTGTCATTCATGTTTACTTCGTTTCAAAATTCTTATTGTCACTTCTCTTTTTAAGTCATACTAAAGTAATCTGCAATGTTTTGAATTCTGTCATATAATACTTAGAACTTTAATATGACTGTTTATAAAATACTTAGTTTTTGGTCAAAGGCTTTTGCCCACAGTAATACTTCTCATTGTGACATTTAAAAAAATAAAACTTTGAATGCATCCTCCTTGTTCTGAATCAAAGATAACCTTGTTGGAAATGGTTCTCTGTTTTCATTGCAATAATATTCAGTAATGTACTCCATTTCACTGATCTAAAATGATACTTTGATTTTATCTTTACTGGTTTAGAGAATTATATGTCCTTCCGTGGTTTCAATGAAATAGCTGGGAAAGGATCTTTTTATAGCTATACATTAACATCTAATATCTTCCTGAAAATAAACACCATTGTGGATCTGTAAGTGTAGATTGAGCAAGCCATGCTTTCTGGGGGCTGCAATGTATCACTTTAAGTGCCATTCAAGATTCACATGGAAGCTCACAAATAATGGGAACCAGATTCCCTTGTGTCCTCTCTTTTCTTCTTAACCCAGAACTGCTTACCTTGGCTTTGGAGACTTAAGTCTTGTTGACTAGGTCAAAGTTTATTAAACTGGGGCTTGCAACTCTCTGTGGGGCCCTGCAACAAAATTGGCAAGAGTGAAAGGTTTCTGAGCACAGAATGACCAAACATGAATTCAAACTCAAACACATAATGACTCTGAGATGTTTCTGGCAGCGCTTGCCTGTGTTGCAAATATCTCAGTCTAAGATGGGTCCTGAGTGGAGAAAGTTTTACATGCTCTGATACTAGGGGACATAAGAAGGGATATTATGAGGCTAACTTAGGAAAAATAAATTTCAACAAAAAGAATGAATGAGTCATGGAATAGTACTTTAACTTTTTAGTTCACTTATTCTTCCTGTTCTCTCTTGTAGGTGGGTGACATCGTGATGGTCAAGGAGAATGAGACCTTTCCTTGTGACTTGATATTCCTTTCCAGCAACCGGGGAGATGGGACCTGCCATGTTACGACTGCCAGCTTAGATGGAGAGTCAAGTCATAAAGTAATGTTCCTCCCATTGGAAATTCCAGAACGATGGCTCGACTTTGACTTTTAGATATTGACATTGGAGATATGATCATACACAAGCACAATGATCAAAACTTAACAGCATGCTTGGGAGTTGAGTGTTTTCAATGTTCAGTGGAAATCCTAGGGAGTTGTGCTAGCCAGTTGTATTTTTCTCACTTTCACTTCTTTTACCCACTTTACCCTTTCCACCCACAATGTCTATAACAGATAAGCACCAGTTAAAGAAGCAACTTCAGTATTAACCTCTGTTACTTAGCTGATGTGCTAAATTACCAATTTAGGAAATGAATACATTTAGAAGACTTTCATCCCAATAGTCAAAATTAATGTCTTAACTAGCCTAGAATTATGTGAAAAGTCAGGCGTATTTTGAGATTTTTGCCTAAAAATATTTCAGTGGGTGTAGATATTTTAATAAGTATTTTCGGAAGTCATAATGAATTCCTTACATTCCATATGGAAGTTTGTACTAGTGACTGATTCTACAAAAGTTTTAATTAACAGTCAAACAATAGTTAAACCTATCTTTATTAATTGAAAGCTTTGATGATTTTTCAAAATGCGCACATTTCCAAGGAGTTTTGAAAGTGGGCCTGGTTCAGTGGAGTCAGCGAGCTCTAGGGCACTGTCTCGTACAAGTGTAACTCCGAAGCAGCAGTGCTTAAGGAATTTCTTGGTTGGTATGTAGGCACTTTTTATGAGAAAGGGAAACTTTCTTGGCAAAAACACCAAAGGATATACTAATATTTATGGTTAATTTGTGATACTATTGTATCAAAGCCCTGCGATCCTTCCCCCCCACCCCCAACCAGGATTTACTTTCACATTTTCTATATAGACACATTCCCAAAGAATTACCATTTTTGTCATATATAAGCAGACGTACTTTGGGGGTGGGTGGGATATAGACAATTCCTGAATGACTTGTATGTTTCTTATCATCTGCTGCTGGTGGCTCCTCTCAACATGAAGGAGGAAAGGTTCCCTAGCCCAATGGGATGTAACCAGCGTTCCATCCTCTCCGTTGACAGTGCTGTCTTTGGACGGGCGTCGTGTATTTGGACCCTTGCTGGTGAGCCTCAGTCCACCGCAGCGCTGTTAGTGAAGCAGAGGCCACTGTCACTGTTTCCAAAACAACATTCGATGGCCGTTGTCCCATTCCAGAACTGAAGTGTTAGCATGGTGGTTCCTTTTCCGACATGTTGTGTATCTGCACTTTGCGTTTTGATAGAATGTTCTCTGATTTTGTTTCTGTGCACTTGCCTTGGCTTGAACAAGGACTGAACTTGTGCGAGTCCTTTTCTTAAAACCGGAGTGGGAAAGCAGAAAGAGGGCAACAGACCTCGGTTGAGATCCTGACTAAGCATGGACTGCGGACTTATGTGCCCGTGGGCAAGTTTTTCTAAGCTCTTCTGAGGTTTTCACAGCTGGATAATGTAATAAACCTATCATTCAGTGTTTTAACAATACTTTATTGATCTTATTCTGGTTAGGTTATAAATAGAAAAGTTTCCCCAGAGAGAAAGATAAAAGGAGATTCACAATAGATGAGAGGGCTTCGAAAAGTTTGTTAGTTCTGTTCTTTTGTTTGTTAGTTTAACCACGTTTTTGAAGCCCCCTCAAAATCCCTTTTCATCAAGCCCTCATGCAATAGTCTTTCTTTCCTCGCTCCTCTCGCAGCAGAGAGGTGCAGCTGCGAAGACCACCTAGTCACACTGAGAAATATCAAGGCCAGTGGCTCTCAAATGTGGTGTGAGAAGAGGACCTTCTGTTCTATTCCTTATGACTGTTCTTTCCCCTATGACCTTGGCCCCACCGTCGACTTACTGAATCAGAGGCCTTGGGGCTGGAGAGCAGGACTCTGTGATTTCACAACCACTGAGGCTAGGGTCTAGGCCCAATGAACAAGTGTGTAAGAAGTTTATATGCTGTCACAGTGATGTGTGTGGACAGTTGGTGGGCGAGTTAGGAGGATTAAGTGATGCCTGGGTAAGCAAGCTCTCTGTAAATGGTACGGCACTCTATAAATGGAAAACAACATTTTTAGTTCCTTGATTTGTTTCTGAATTGATAGCATCACTGTGACTAATAATTTGAAGTCTCCAAGGGTCAAACAGACTTACCAGTTATTGCTGTTTGCCAATGGGTTGCTCTTTATGATGTGAGTCGTGAATTCCCATTTGCTGTCCATTTGCAGACTCATTATGCAGTTCAAGACACCAAGGGGTTTCACACTGAAGGAGACATCGATGGGCTACATGCTACAATTGAATGTGAGCAGCCTCAGCCCGACCTCTACAAGTCAGTATTCCATCAAGTATCTTTTTAGCCTCTCAATACTGCTCTTGCTTTGTCATCTCAGACAGCAGTCAAAAGACTTTTAGACTGAGTCCAAAGTATGCCAGTAATACTATACACTAGTTTAATAGGCATCAAATAGATAGCTTTTCATATGTACATACCCGAAAAGGCTTAATGGAACTAAATGATTTAAAGCAATTAATTTTTCTTTGCTTTGAGAAAGTAGGACCTAAAACTGTATTAAGGAAAACATTTAAGTCTTGGGTATACATAGAAAGTGAAAGAAGAGTTGCTGTCACCTCTCTGACCCCTGGCTGCTGTCTGAGAACTAGATGGCCAGGCCTTCCTTCTCAGGCCCCTCTGAGCACTCTCACCGCCAACCACTTGGTTAGCAGCCCAGGGCAGGGACCACCTGCACTCCCCAGAGATGCCCCAAGAATAAAGACAAGGGAGATAGAGTAGGAATGGCTTACATACATACTAGGCGTGTGTGTTACAGTTTATAATAGCACTCATTCCCTGCTTAAAATTGGGAAAATCCATAAATATGTTTTAAAAGAAAAGGTGCTTTAGGGTTCTGACTCTTGAACGGATGCTGGCCTGTTAGTAATTTCACTTTTTATTTTTTGTCAGATTTGTTGGTCGCATAAATGTTTACAATGATCTAAATGACCCTGTGGTAAGGTAAGGAGACACACTTTCTGTTAGGCATTTTGGGCAATCTTCCTCTAATATTATTAATTATTTTATTAGTAAGAGTTTTTTGTTGTGTCTGTTCCTATCGGTTCTAAAGAATGGCTCTCTTTGCGCATGCACATCTGTATGTGTTAGATAAGTCGATGATTTAGTGAAAATTTTCTCTCACCAGATTCTGTTGAAGGTGCCTTTTAAGGGACTGATCCCAAGGCAGAGGGTATAGCACACTTTCCTGCCGTTAAAAATACCCTTGGAGAGAGGCGTATCATAATGCGCCTTCAGCTCTGGAATTGAAGCATTTTTACTCTGCAGACCATTTTATTGGAATACATTAATCTGCTCCTAGTCATTGGAACAAATTTATGGCTCTAGATTATTTTTGAGATTTAATAGAAAGTGTCTCACGAAGGACATATTTGAGGCTCATATCCACCTAAGAAAATTAAAAAAACTGTCCCCGGGTAATTACAGCGATCACAGGCCAGTGCTTTTGCTTTCCATGTTTAATCATAGAGGTTTCAGTGGCTCATCAGACACATTACAAAGTCTCCAGAAACGAGCCGCCCATCAAATCTCTAACTTTGTGACTACCACACAGTGGAAGCTCGGAACCAGTCCTGGAGGCTGGGTGGATAATAACCCTCCTGTAATTCAACCTTGAAAGATTTCTACATCTGTAAGCTAACTCGGTCTTTTCTTAGGTCTATTGATATTTCATCTGGGCATTATTTCAAGATCCTTTTGGCAGGCTCGCTAAGAAAGCATTTGAGCTACACATTTTAGGCAATTCATCTTGTCATTTTTCCAGTTAATATCCCCCTGCCCAAAAAACCTCACTTGTTAGAGAAACGTTGTCCAAATTTAACCGTCTCCAAATTGTTAATATATATGAACGAAAACCTTTCCCCCTAAGTAGAAATAAGCTCTTATGAAAAATTACTGCCGATAGATACTGAAATACAAATCCCTGAGTTTTACCGCTGTCACAGTATCCTAAAAGGATTAGCTTTAAGGAAATACTTTGTACACTCTTTGTTCAGCATGTTTATCATCATGCTACATCGGCAGACTAGCCGGTGCCTTTGGGGATTAATGGAGGTATTATTTTATTCTTTACTAAATACATATTACTCTGATGGTAACTTTCTTGTTACCTTGGAGAAAGTGTTCCTTGGAGGAATTAATTTGTGCTTGAAAGAGTAAATAGATTTCAGTTTACTCATATTGCCAGCCAGATAAACCTGGGGGAAAAAAGCATTTTATTTCATTCGTGCTTTATATTTAGAAGATCATTGGCTGAGTATTTTGGCAAGAAAACTAATATATTTTGTATTTCAACTCAAACTCTATTTTAGCTTCTTTAGTATTTACTTTATTGGATAGACTTTTAGTATTTGGGTTTAAAAATATTTATAAATTCATGGTTTGAACCGTTACGAATTATGTATCCAAATTCACAATCCACTCAAAGTGATAGTTACCTTCCTCCTTGACCAAATGAAGCTAAGTACTTTTTTAAGTAAAGTATTTTTAGACGGCTCAGGGACACTTGTTAAAGGTTCATTTGTTTTCATAAATACTCGCGACACAAATTATCCTGAGTGTGTTACTAACAGAAGGTGACAATACTTCTAACACAACCAGACAACCAATGTGCTACAATGTTTAATGACTGTCAGGCTCATAAATGGATGTTGAAACTATCTACTCACTCGAGGACATACATGTCAGTTGATGCCCCAGGATGTCACTCATCCTGTGAGCAGGCTCCACTCTCCCTTCAGTTCGATGCAGTTCTGAACTGTAGTGGCCAAGTGGGTGGTGCGTGTTTGAGGACTGTAACAGTTTACCAGTGTTCCATGAGCAAAAGGAGTCCATAATGGCAGAGATATTTGTGTATTGCTCACTGTGTCTTTAATGCTTAGGACAGTGCTTGTTCTTAAAGGAATGGTTTTAAAAGTCTGATACTTGTTTTCCGCCAAAAGTCGCAGTGTGAGGACCTAATGTCGGGGGTTTAAATGGAGAGAAAATGTTTTGAGAAACGATGTACAAATGCGCTTTACACAATTGATGTGTGTATGGATTGGGATAACAGTTGTATGAGCCCCTAATAAAATGTTAAAAAAAAAAAAGTCGCAGTGCATGGGCCATTTCACGTTCATAAGTGATCTGCATTTCACAGACCTACATCTTTGTCGATATAACTTTCAGTTTTTATAAGTGCCATGTAGAGTATCCTTGCCTTCATCTTTAAAAAAACAGTCATTTAAATGAGTGCTTTCAACTTGCTGAAACACGTGCTCTGCTCTTCAGCCTTCAGAACAGGGGGCTGGGGGCCAGGGAGACCCTTCAATCAATCACCTAAACGTCTTTTTAAAAAAATCCTTTTATTGTGGGCTCATACAGCTCTTATAATACAGACATACATATATTGTGTCAAGCACATTTGTACATTTGTTGCCATCATCATTTTCAATACATTTTCATTCTACTTGAACCCTAGGTATCAGCTCCTCGTTTTTTCCCCTAACCTCCCTCACTCCCTCCCCCCCTCACAAACCCTTAGTAATTTGTAAATTGTTATTGTTTTTTCCGTGGGTTACAGTGATTGATGTCTCCCTTTACCCACTTTTCTGTTGTCCGTCCCCCAGGGAGGGGGTTATATATATCATTGTGATTGGTTCCCCCTTTCTTCCCCACCTTCCCCTTTCCCTCCTGGTTTTGCTACTCTCATTATTGGTCCTGAGGGGTTTGTCTGTCCTGGATTCCCTGTGTCTCCAGCTCTGATCTGTACCTGTCTTGTTAAGAAGTCACTGGACCACTGCCACACTTCCTGATTCAGTAACTAGAAGCCTGAGAATTTACATTTTTAATACCTTCCCAAATGCTGCTAATGGTACCAATTTGGGGACCACATTTTGGAGGATCACGGCAGCCCTAATAACTTACTCTGTCTCTAATGACTGTGTGATGGCAACACAGGTTCTGTTTAGTAAATTTGGGATGAGCCCGAAGAGCTGCATTTCTAACCAACTCCCCAAAGATGCCAATGCTGCTGCATCCAGGCAGCACTTTGAGTCAAAAGACTGTAGGAAAACTGGAACTCTGTGAAGAACTATTGTCGTAAGGAATGCTTTTATCCTCCCACAGATAAAGGCCATTTAAACTTACAGGACCATCAGCTAACTCTACTCATCTAAACATAAGCAAATAAACGATTTCCTCTTCAAATGAAATCAGTTAAGCAAGTGAATTAATTGTCCGTCTCGCATTTTGCTTTCCTCTGTGCTCTGTATTGTTCTGTCTCCGACCATCCTCTGCAGGCCATTAGGATCCGAAAACTTGCTTCTCAGAGGAGCCACGCTAAAGAACACGGAAAAGATCTTTGGTAACTCTTTTAATTAGTGAATTATTCATAGTAGTGTCTCAAATTAACGATACATTAAGCAAAGTTAATATCCAGAATGGAATCAGGAAAGCATCTCTTTGTTCTTCAAGGTACTGTGACTTTATGGCAGCAATGATTTTGTCTCACTATGCATAGTGTTGATGTAAACCACAAGCCGTACAGCGATGTCCTCTGCAAATACTGCTCGTAGACTAAGCACCTGTATTTCTAACTGAGCACATAAAATTATATCTATGGAAGAATTCATGTAGTGTTTCTCTGCAGGACATTTCTTGTAATGTCTGATTTTGCTAGTATTTCTCATTTCTGGTGAGTTGCAGCTTATATTTTAATTAAATGAAAAGTAAACTTTTAAGAATATTAGTGTATCTCATCAGAAAGCTCAAAACATTAAAATGTGAACTTAAAATACAGATGATTCTCAATTGGGAAGAGATGTTTCTCCAGTCAAAACTCCGAAGCAGTGCTTCCCCATGTGAGGGATACTGCCCTCCGGGCGGCACTAGAAAAATCCAGGGGGCTTGCAAAAACATGCCTGCACTTTATCCTGGATTATGGGCTATGGTACAAAAATGTTTAATTGCCAGGGAGGGTGGGGGGCATTGGGTACTTTTTTTTCTGAAAAGGGGGCCATAGGCCAAATAAATTTTGGACCCTGTGGTCTAAAGGAACCTTGTCATGTGATGACTCTTTTGAGCAAAACATTAACGCCCAATAAAACTAAAATTACGATTCATTTGACAATCTAATATCCCTATAGCAGTCTATAAAGACAAGATACATTTCTCTTATTTTAACATTTACTCCTTCTATTTGACAGGAGTTGCTATTTATACTGGCATGGAAACCAAGATGGCATTAAATTATCAATCAAAATCCCAGAAACGGTCTGCTGTAGAGAAGTAAGGTTTACTGCCTGCTCATTTGAACTGTGTGAAAAACTGTGCTTTTAAAGTACATCAATTACCATAGTTAGGAAAATATTTTCCTTTTGGGTCTATTTGCAATTTCTTTGTGGTTTCTAGTTGTACAGTTACTTAGTAACTATTATGCTAATTATTTTGATGAGACAGAAAAGCCACATAACCTTATAATTTTAGCATTTCAGTATTAATCTTCAGAACACTTTAAAACCATTTATTTTTAAAGCCAGTTACAAAGAATTTTTAGCTTTGAGGTTAATTGCAGATGGCCATAAAGTTCATCCATGCTTTATTAAAAACAAAAATACGATGACTTTAAACTCTGAGATTTCATGGAGTTCATGGACTTTCCAATATGGCTTCAGTGAGCAATCCCAGAGAGAACATAGACTTCTTAACATTACATAGTAATATCCTTAGGGTAATATGTCAGGCTGATACTTTAATTTGTAAGAATACATGGCCTGGAATTTTGTTTCTTTGTCTCTTGTTAAAGTCTAGCCTGGACTTGAAACGGACAACTAAACAGTTTATAAATTATGTAAGAGTGTATGAATTATACATTACTCAATGATTTGTCTCCCCCTACCCCCACCAAAAAAAAAAGATGGCTGAGTGTGTTTCTGTTTTCATAAACTAATCTTTAAATGTGATATCACTGGTCTCTTCACTCTGAAGATGAAGAGTCTGTTTCTAGTGTCTACAGATGACAAATAGGTTTCAAAATTAGATACTGGAAAATCCATTTTTCCCCATGATCTCTGCTAAGTTTATCATTTTTCTTATGTGGAGAGTATTTTCCTTTGAAGTATTCACTCTTCTCTTCCACTCTCCTCCATCATTCCCTCCCTGCTTTCTTCCTCTTGTCCTTCCTTCCTTTGTAATGATAATCACTAAATTTTGAACTCTTCCAACTGATGCTTAATGAAAGAAGATCACTGATTTTTTTACGTTCTTTTAAATGACAGAATTACAGACCATCTAGAAACATTTGTTAGCAATATCGTTATGTGCAGTTTTCTTTCTACTGACGAAAACATCCCTTCTCCGTAGATAATTCCCTTCGAGCCTCTGGAGTGGACTCAGATAGAGTTGAGCTTGTATTTTCACTTTTACTGAGTCTAGTGTAAGGTAGAAACTTCCTTTGAAAAAATATTAACATATTACCTTCCTTTATGTGTAGTGTTTCATCACCAGGTGTTCACCTTGACGTTTTAAAGACAGAAGAGCTATGCTTGTTGTGTATTCCGGCACCGATAATTAAGTGATCATCACTGTCTTTTTGTTTTAGATCAATGAATGTATTCCTCATTGTGTACCTCTGTATTCTAATCAGTAAAGCACTGATAAACACTGTTCTGAAATATGTGTGGCAGAGTGAACCATTTCGAGATGAACCATGGTATAATCAGAAAACGGAATCAGAAAGACAGAGGAACCTGGTATGAGAAATGACTCCGTTCCCTTTTCCAAAAATGACCTGTAGACTGTTGTTCTGAGAATCTGGTACGATGAAATTACAATGGTGAATTTCTTGCAGGCAGGAAGGTAAACTGAATAGCAATAGTAGATGCACACATTAATATAGATGTTCGTTGCCTCCCTAGCTGTAGGCACAGGTTCTTGCTGCTTCCTTCAGGAATGTCAGTGTACACGTCTGCAAAGGGATTGATTCCCACGGTAAATGCACGAGGACAGTATCAGGAACACTGTTGGCATGTCCAGCCCCTAGCACATACCTTACATTCGTGGTGGTTCTTTTCTTGTTAGGTTCCTCCAAGTCAATCTCAGCTCCTAAAGCCTCAGGAGTTTCCCCCTAAGGTTTTCTGGGCTATAACCTTTACCAGAACGGATCACTGCGTCTTTCTCCCACAGAGCTGCTGGGTGGGTTCAAACTGCCAACCTTTGCTAGTGGCCGGGGGCTTTAACCATGTGCCACCAGGGATCCTTGCCTCCTATTTAGAAGATGCTCAGTCAATGCTTACTACTTATCATAAGTACAATAAAAAAAGGGGGTGGGTGGGGAATCTCAATTATAGGAAATTATGGCAAGAAGGCAGGCAGCTGCTACCAGAAGCTTGGCGGTTTGAGTCCACCCAGAGGTGCCTCTGAAGAAAGATTTGGCAATCTGCTTCCCCCAATCCTGGGCCCTATGGATGGGACCCATCTCTACTCAGACACACAGGGGGTTGGCATGAGTGCTTCTCAACTCATTGACACTGTTATTTTAGGCTGAGAATTGGTTTTCTTTTTCTGTTGGAAGATTTCAGTACAGTTACTTGTATTTATAAAAAAAACATTTCACAAGCCAGTGTAAAGTCATTTGATTGAGCTGTCTTATACTTACTTAAAACAGTACAATCTTCTAGCTAGTCCCATTCAGCCCAGACCCAGAGGTGGATGTCGATCTAGACCTGTTTCAGAAAGCTTCCATGTCTCCTTGGGGTTGTCTCACCTTTCTGCCCAACAGGCACCTGGCTAGCACGCAGACATCTCCACAAGTTCAGCTGTCGTAGGAGCCTGACAAAACTTGCATGGTTTCAGAGATAGGAACAAAATTCAAAACTAGACAACAGCAAAAAGTAATTTTACCAGATTTGGGGGAGGGAGAGTTATGTAGGTTATTACTTTATAATCGGGATAATTTATCAAAGTCACAAGTTAAATTCAAATTTTCCATTAGGTCTAAGTTAGAATTATCTCCTGTCGCTTCTCAGTATAGTTATTTTAGCAGGTAATTTCATCTTATTCCATTGATATAGAACAGACATGCAAATCAAGCTTCTTGGCCTAAAGGCAGGTCATGAATAGAAAGCTAGGTGACAAATATAGTGGAAATCTAAGCCTGCAGCTGCTGCCAACCTAAAATAACCCTTATCTTTGGATTTTGAAATACTTACATTTAAAAATAAGGCACCCTGGTGGCACTGCAGGTTGGACACTGGGCTGCTAACCCCAAATCAGCTGTTCAAACCCACCAGCTGCTCTAAAGGAAGAAAAAGTATTTGTCTGTTCCCTTAAAGATGTTCAGTCTTGGAAACTCTGTAGAAGGGTCACTATGAATAGGTCACTTGATGGCAGTGGGTTTGGGTGGCTTTTTAAAAATTATTTTGAAGTACCACTCCTGTTATTTCTACCCTAACTTTAAGTTGTTCACTCATGATTTTACTCTTTATTTTCACCCAGCTGGATGGTGTGATATATGATACATTACTCAATGTTGAACGACGGTTATCTGTTTCTTCTCAGTTTCTCCGAGCGTTCACTGATTTTCTGGCATTCATGGTCCTCTTTAACTACATTATCCCAGTGTCCATGTATGTCACAGTCGAAATGCAGAAATTTCTCGGCTCTTATTTCATCACCTGGGATGAAGACATGTTTGATGAAGAAACAGGGGAAGGGCCTCTGGTTAATACCTCGGATTTAAATGAAGAATTAGGACAGGTGAGTATCTCACGGCTTGTCTTTCATAACTAATAGAAATTGAGTTAATCCATACTACGTTTCCTGGTATCTAGATACAAGTAATTCATCCAAATGGTGAAATGAAAATTTCAACTTTAACTCACACATATAACTATAACCTATAATTGGTGAAATGAAAAAAAGGTTTTTTAACTCTATTTATACAATAATAGGTAATGAATTTATATTTACAACATTTACAAAATTAATCACATTAGCTGATGAATATAAACTAATCCATGGGTTTCTAAGTGTACTCATTCTGGATTTTATTGGCACGAATGAAAAGTTGAAGGGATACGTGAACTGCCATTTATTGAGTTCCTCTGCCACAGGCATTGTGCTAGCTTTTATAAATGATATATTTAATTCTGATTACAAGTCAATTTTCCTCATTTCTAAAGATGGCAAACAAAGATTTGCTAGCAGAGCATATTTCAAAGAGTTTAATACATTTACATTTATAATTTGTTCTAATACTTAGAACCTTGGATTACCTAATCTTTCTGTATCTCAAATTTCTTAATTTGTGAAGTAGGGATAATTGCATATATATGCACTTGCTCATAAAGATCAAGGACCGCAGCCAGCCTTCAGTACAGATTACAAGCTATGTGAAGAAAACCAGACTACCGGACTCGTGGGTAACATCATGGTAAAGAGAAAAGAGATTGACGTTATCAAGGATTTTTGTCTTCCGTGCATACACAGTCAGTGCTCCTGGAAGCAGCAGTCAAGAGATCAAATGACACATTGCATTGGGTAAATCTGCTTGCTACACGAGACGTCTTTAAAGTATAAACAGCAGGTATGTTACTCGGAGGATCGGGTGTGCCTGATCCAAGCCATGGTACGTTCGGCCGTCTCCTGTGCATGTGGACGTTGGAGGTTGACTAGGGAAGACTGAAGAAGGGCTGATGCATTTGAATTCTGGTGCTGGGGAATGCAGAATGTGGGAAAGTGCCCAGCACAAGCAAATCTGTCTTGGATGAAGAACAGCCAGAATGCTCTTTAGAGGCAAGGATCACTAGACTTCGGGCATGCCCTTTGGACATGTTGCCAGGAAAGACCAGATCCCGGAGAACACTTGGCGAAGGGGCAGCGCAGTGAAATGGAAGAAGGCCTTTACTAAGACAGATTGACGCGGTGGCTACAGCAGTGGGTTCAGACATAGGAGCCGTTGTGAAGATGGCACAGGACCGGGCTCTGTGTAGTTCCGTTGTACACTCACTCTGAGCTGGAACTGACTAAACAGCTAAACAACAACAATTGCGAGATGACCACTCATCTGTCAGTTTTTCATACTGAGCTGCCTTCCGTGCCCCTCTGGTACTGGAAGCTACGTCACAGTAACTGCAGCAGGTTCATGCATGTAAATAGGTTTCAGTGGCCCTTCTGGACTAAAACCAACTAGGAAGAAGGAACAATCAGCCCACTTCAAAAAATTATTACTAAGAAATCTTACGAATAACAGTGGAACGTGGCCTGATATAGAGCCAGAAGATCGACTCCCTGGGTTTAAAGGGATTCATCTGTGCCGAGGCAAGAGCTCTCCCTCCTCACGAGAGAGGCCAGCTTTAGAACAGCCACGAACACGTGGAGTCAGAGTGTATGAAGTAATGAATGTAGGAAAATTGGAAGTTATCGGTAATGAAGTGGGACACGCGGAGAGTGATAAGCTAGGCGTTAATGAGCTGAAGTGGACTGGTAGTGGTGGCCTTTTTGAGTTGATCAAGTGTGTCATTGATTATGTCTGGAATGACATATTCAAGAGGAATAGGTCACCTTATCACAATCATTATCAAAAAGGAAACGTCAAGATTTATTTTGAAGTACAAGGCGATATGTGATAGAATGTATAGCATAAATATATACCTGCAAGAAAGACCAGTTAATGCAACTAAGGGTCAAATTTAAGCACTGACCACTAAATCCAATGTGAATAAATTAAGGGATTCGACCCACAGTCTGAAATTGTTTAAACATTTAATCAAGATGCAGTGACAATTACTGATTGGAATATGAAGTCAGAAA